TGCCTGTATTTTCCGTGGAGCCTTGCTGTGTTGGGTCCAGGCGCGCTCGGCGTGCCTCACTGACCCAGGCTCCCTCCTGCACCTGCTGCATCGTCAGCACACAGTCCTCTTCAGACCTGGGGTCCCCGCTGGGGTTGGGGGGGAGCACATCACTGTCTCGGCTCACTTTGTCGTCTTTGGTTTCTTGACACACAATCTCTCTGTCCTAGTATGTCTCCCGCAGATTGGCGCCCCCGGCTGCTTTCGTCCGCCCCCCAGGACTCTGCCACGAGAAGTTCTCTCCGCACAGCCTTTGCCCATGGGAGCAAGAGCGAGCCCAGGCTGGCCGGGGAGTCCTGCAGGGTGCCGGGAGAACAGAGGCCCTCGCCAGGCTTAGGGGTGAGGGGCCCAAGAGGGCCGATGCTTGGTGAAGTGGTCCTTGTTTGTTTATAATGTATTTGAGAGAGAAATTGCCAATGAAGAGTTTATAACCTGTTTCTAGGGGCACCTGGGTGGCTCAGTTGGTTAAGCGTCTGCCTTCAGCTCAGGTCATGATCCTGGAGTCCTGGGATTGAGCCCCGCATCGGGCTCCCTGGTCAGCGGGAAGCCTGCTTCTCCCTCTCCCGCTCCCCCTGCTTGTGCTCTCTGGCTCTCTCTGTCAAACGAATAGATAGAATCTTTAAAAAAAAAAAAAAAGTTTATAATATGTTTCTAAAAGTAAAGAAGTCAGCCATGGTATAAAAGGTCCTTATTATGGAAAAAAATGACTTAAGCAACCTCTCTTTATATTCGGAAAGAGTGCTCACCCTTCTGAGATAAAAATGAAATATAACTTTTATTTATTATTTGTTTGGTGGTGGACGGCAGATCATTCTTAAAGCCTAATTCTACAGAGCAATTTATTGATGTCAGGACGAAAGCCCCAGAGTTAGCGGGTCTTTGGTTTCATCTCCTAAAGCCCTCTGCCTGAGCTGGTAGATCAGGGACAACTTCAGAACCCCACCTCCTCCTGGCATCACTGCTGCCCTGCATGGGGAGCCAAAGATGATCAGAATCCGGGTCATGTTTGCTGAGAGCACAGTGTCACCGTAGATACTCGGCCCTCCTCTTTCATAGTGGCGTCAATTTTTTAAAGGATTTTTTTTTTTTCTTTTGGACCTAGAATTTCAGGTTGTCAGTTTTCTTTCAGTTCTTGAAAATTGCAATTCCATTTTCTTCTGGCTTCAACAGTTTCTTTAAAGAAATCAGATCGAATTCTCATAGTTTTTCCCTTGAAGGAAATGTGGCTTCCCCCCCCACCCTCTGGCTGCTGTCACAATTTTTCTTTTACCTTTGGTTTTTACTAGTTTGACCATGATGTGTTTAAGTATGGTTTTCCTCACATTTATCCTGCTCGCGCTCTGCTGAGCTTCACTTCAGCAGATTTCTTCAAATATTGCTTCTCTCATTCACTTCCTTGTCTCCTTCTGGAACTCAGTTAGACATTGAAAGTTAAGAGACTGTATATCCCACATCTCTCTTACCCTCTATTCTGGCCTTTTTTTTTTTTTTTTATCTTCTAAATTTTATTCTGGAGAGCTCTTTTGACCAGTCTTAAAACTGATTTGGTCTGCTGTATCTAGCCTGCTGTTAAACCCATGTAATGAATGATTAAGTTCAGAGATTGTATTTTGCAGTTCTAGAATGTCAATTTGATTCTTTCTGAAAATAAAGCCTAATTCTGTATTGAAATGCTTCATGTTTTCATTGATTTTGTTCACCTTTTCCTGTGTAATTTTTAACATAATGATCATTTTGAAATCTTTTCTGTTAACTCCATTTACTGGATTATCTCTGGGCCTGCTTCTGTTGTCTGCTTTCTCTCTTGACTATTGGTCACCTTTTTTTTCATGTCTCCTAATTTTTAATTACATGCTAGACATGGTGTTAATACATTATAGAAGGGCTGGATTATGTTATCTTCTTCTAAAGAATATTTAGTTTTGTTCTGGAAGAATTTGCATTACTAGCAGATTATCTCTATCTTGTTGGGATTTTATTTTAATCTTTGTGAGAATGTTCTATTCCAGTTTTGTCCTTCGTCCTAGGATAGAGCCCTTGCTCCTATGCATGGTCTTTATTCACAGGACATGTTTTTTTCTGGGGTTTCAATTCAATGTTGGAGATTTTCACCAAGGTGTCTCTATTCTGGTTGAGTTGGAACTCCGGTGTCTTCCCAGGACTCTTTTCTACTCTGTTTACTATACACTTGCCTTTACATAAACATCTTAGGATATGGTCAAGGACCTGAGGGGAACTTTCTACATAGATTTTGGGGGCTATTTTTCTGTGGTTCCTCTTTTTTAGCACCCTGCCTCTAAATTTCAGCTATCGTAGCAGATGCAAACTCTGATCTCTGTTTTGTCTGGCCAGTAAGATTGTTGGATTCCAATTCTCTGAACCAGGGTTTGGAAAATGCCTCTAGGGAGAAAGGTGGGACTGAAGGGGGGGTTTATCCCATATATTCCTTCTCACAAGCATCGCAGTCCTGTGCTATTCACCATCTATTGCCTGAAGTCAATTATTTCATGTAGATGATTTGGTTTTAGTTTCTAGAGGGTGGGTTAGTTCATTACCAGCCTTTCTATAATGGATAGAATTGGACAACCTCATTCATTTTTATAAATGAATAGCAATATAAATATTTAAGGTTCCTCCATGTCTTCTCATGGCTTGGTAGCTCATTTCTTTTTAGTGCTAAGTAATCCATTGTCTGGATGTACCACAGTTTATTTACCATTCTGCTACTAAAGGGCATCTTGGTTTCATTTAGGTTTTGGCACTTAGGAATAAAGATGCTATTAATATCTGTGTGCAAGTTTTTCTGTGGACATAAGTTTCAACTCCTTTACATGAATACCAAGGACTGTGATTGCTGGATTATATAGTAAGAGTATGTTTAGTTTTGTAAGAAACCACCAAACTGTCTTTCAAAGTGGCTGTACCAATTTTTTTTTTAATTTTATTATGTTATGTTAGTCACCATACAGTACATCATTGGTTTTTGTTGTGGTGATCCATGATCCATTGTTTTCGTATAACACCCAGTGCTCCATGCAGTATGTGCCCTCCTTAATACCCATCACCAGGCTAACCAATCCTCCCTCCCCCCCCCCAAAACCCTGTTTGTTTCTCAGAGTCCATAGTCTCTCATGGTTCATCTCTCCCTCCAATTCCGCCCCCCATTTTTCCCTTCCTTCTCCTAATGTCCTCCATGCTATTCCTTATGTTCCACAAATAAGTGAAACCATATAATTGACTTTTTCTGCTTGACTTATTTCACTTAGCATAATCTCCTCCAGTCCCATCCATGTTGATGTAAAAGTTGGGTATTCATCTTTTCTGATGGCTGAGTAATATTCCATTGTATATATGGACCACATCTTCTTTATCCATTCATCTGTTGAAAGGCATCTCGGCTCTTTCCACAGTTTGGCTATTGCGGACATTGCTGCTATGGACATTGGGATGCATGTGTCTTTGGGGTAAATACCCAGTAGTGCAATTGCTGGGCCATAAGATAGCTCTATTTTTAAGTTTTTGAGCAACCTCCACACTGTTTTCCAAAGTGGCTGTACCAAAGTCCCACCAACAGTGTAAGAGGGTTCCCCTTTCTCCACAACCTCTCCAACATTTGTTGTTTCTTTCCCTGTCCATTTTGGCCAGTCTAACTGGTGTAAGGTGGTATCTCAGTGTGGTTTTGATTTGGATTTCCCTGATGGCTAATGATGATGAACATTTTTTCATGTGTCTGTTAGCCATTTGTATGTCTTCTTCAGAGAAGTGTCTTTTCATGTCTTCTGCCCCAAAGTGGCCGTACCATTTTTTATTTCATACACTATAATGGAAGTATTTTCTCTGCTTCTGTCTTCTGTTAGAGATTGTAGAGATTTGGTGTAATTTCTTAAATTTTTTGTAGAATTCAGTCAACCCATCTGGGCCTGGTGATTTCTCTTTTGACAACTTATTTATTGATTCAGTTTCTTTACTTGATACAGGCTTATTCAGCTAGTCTATTTCTTCCTGTGTGAATTTTGGCAGATTGCGTCTTTCAGGGAATTGGTCTGTTTCATATAGGTTAACCAAATTGTGAGTAGAGAGTTGTTTGGAATATTCTTTTATTAACCTTTTAACATCTGTGGTATCAGTACTGATGGTCTCTCATTTCTGATATTAATTTGTCTTTTTTTTTCTTAGTTAACATTGCCATAAGTCTATAAATTTTATTGACAATGGAATATTATTCAGCATGATAAACAAATTAGCTATTAAGCCATGAAAAGACATGATAAAATGTATATGCATATTACTAAGTGAAATAAGCCAATCTGAAAAGGCTACATATTATGTGAGTCCAACTATGTGATATTATGGAAAAGGTTAAACTATAGAGACAGCAAAAAGATGAGTGATTGCCAGGGGTTAGTGGGGAGAGAAAGATGAATATGCAGAGAGAATATTTAGGGCAGTGAAACTACCTTTTTTTTTTTTTTTAAGATTTTATTTGAGAGAGAGAAATATTGAGAGAGCATGAGAGAGAGCACGAGCAGGAGGGAGGGGGAGAGGGAGAAGCAGAAGCAGACTCCCCACTGAGCAGGGAGCCCGATGCAGGACTTGATCCCAGAGTCCCAGGATCATGCATGACCTGAGCCCAAGGCAGATGCTTAACCGACTGAGCCACTCCAGGCGCCCCAGTGAAACTAAGCTGTATGGGTACTGTAATGGTAGATCTATTTCATTAGACTTTTGTCCAAAGCCACAGAATGTACAACACTCAGAATAAACCCTAATGTAAACTATGGACTTTGGATGGTAACGATGTATCCATATAGGTTCATTAGTTGTAATAAGTGGTGGGCGATGGTGCTAATGGGGAGGCTATGTATATGTATGTGTGGGTATCAAGGAGTTTATGGGGGAAATCTCTGTACTTTCTGCTCAGTATTGATGTGAACTTTCTCTAAAAAATAAACTCTATTAAAACCAAAAATAAAACCAAAACAAAAATATAGCAGTTACTCTTTTACTATCCCAGTGAGCTCTCCTTGAACCCTCTTTGGCTATTGTAATTGTTGAGAGTAGCCTACCCAACCTTAGGTTTTCTTAGTTCCATCTTGCTACCATGACCTAATTAGCTTGTAGCCTATAACTTTCATGTGCCTCATCTACTGATTCTCATTCTGCTTATCCTTATCCTGTAATGGACACCACTGGTGACCTGTGACTCTTGTTTTCTCACTTATCACATCCATCTTGACTTCTTTGCCTGACATACCTATTTCTCTGCAGTGTCCCTGAGGAATTCCACCACTGCTGTCTTATCAGTGATAAACTGTGAGATGTTCTACTTGCTTTCACATGAATAAATGGCTGGAGATGTACATTCATTAGCTCTAAAGCAAACTGCACATCTGAACTTTTACATTGTTGCTACATTTTGAGAAGTCAAATGACCATTGTATACCATAATCTATGCATTTCAGTGCCATTTTGTGACACACTTGCTCTGTGCAATTAACGTCCTTTAATATGTAGTATTTTCTTTAATTGTTGGAGCTATACAACTTAGTACTTTCCTATGCACCCTCTTATTCTGTAATTATTTTAGTCTTGTGTGTTTTATATGTACAATTATACAGTAATCTTCTAGTGGGGAGAAATGTCTTTTATATCACTGATGGTTTCTAGCACACTAAAGATAAAACAAATTCAAGAAAAGATGTTTGTTGACTGATTCATTAAGTTGCCTAGTAGGGATGTTAAAGTCACTGATCGTACATGTCATTCCGTCCTTGAGTTCTTAGTTTTTTTGGTGTTCTATGCCTACGTTGTTTTGGGAGAATTCAAAAGTTCATAGATTTTTTTTCCATCTTGGCAAAAATCAAATATAAATAAGTGATTTTAAATTTTCTGTATTTTCTCTGGATTTCTTTCTAAATCTCTGAAAGATGTTGTCACTAATGAAGATGGGTTATCTAGACTTTTAGTATATGCATATGTATGTGTAAGGGGAGGGATAGAGATAGGGGCCGGGGAGGGCTTTTTCTTTTTCTTTCTTTTCCTTTTCTTTTTCTTTTTACTATGTAAGCATATGGTATTTTTCATCCATGGTTTTCAGAGTAGCATAAAGCTAAATTATCTGTCCCTTTGGAACTTCAAATAGAAGGTGGGCTGTCCATGATTCTCACTTGGTTGCTCATCCCTATTTTTAGTTGGACGTGGAGCTATTTGCATCGAGTTTTGCTCATTGGATTCTTCAGCTTGAAGACTCTTTTCTTTGATAATATCTGCATCCTTTTCAAAACTTGAGGGAATAGTCTCCCATTTGCTGCTGAGAGGTTTCATGTCTTTAGTCTTTGTGGCCTTGATTCGAGAGTGTTTTTTCTTCTTCTTGGGCACTTTGAGAGCTGACAGACTTTCAAGTGATCTCTGGGACACAGACTGGAGCCACTCTGGAGAGCTTACCATAAGGTTCCTTTGGCTTATAAAAGGGTGATTTCTGGGTGGTGTCCCGGATGTGCTGCATCTCTGTATATTTATGTAAGTAGCTGGCATTAGTCTAGAAAAGGAATGAAATACGAGTTTTTGTCATGTACATTAGGTATTTGGAGTCCTTAGGTATTTTAGTTTAAGTCTTATTTTTAAATCCTTTGGTGAATTCATCTTCCCTTAGGACCTTTACCATTATTTCTATGAGAATGATCCATGTCTTCAATTTCTGCTCATGATTTTTCAGAACCACTCCTGAAGAGTGGATAAAAAGGAATATCATCCTCCTGTACTTCTGAATGCCGAGAGGGTATGTTTGAGATACGTGCCCTGACCCAAGCTTCCTCATACAAAGGCCACTCTGGGCCTCAGTGCCTTACCTATACATCTAGTTAGTAAATGTTCTCTAAAATTCCACTTTTCTCTAAAAATCTACTTGTTTATTCTATTAGAATATACTTAGTTATATGCTATACATTTTTTTTTCTATAGTCAGTGAAAAGATCAGTATGAGTCCAAGAGATGGAAGCTGCATCTATTTCTTCCTGGAAGTGGAAAATCTCTCCAGTTCCATTTTGATCTGCATAGTGTTTCTCAAGAATTTTTATCATTAATAGATGGAATGCCAAATATGAGATTTATTGCTTAATATCTGATTTCTGAACAATGTTTGACAGAGATAAAGAGATGTAAATCATCTTGCTAATATGATATTAGTATCCGCCTAGACTCTGTTCACTTTGGTTACAAACAGAACGGACAATTTAAGTTCCAGCCCTAAAGTTATGTTCAACTGTTACATTCTGTAGCATGAGAATTCTGCCAGCTTCTGTGGAAGCACATTAAATATTCTCTCCCTGGTCCAAATTTGGATAGATGTCTAAAATAGTTTGACAACAGTGTGATTTTTCTCATTTTTTGGTTTATTCTCACTTTGCTCTGTAATCTCTTACTATGGGTGACCGTATGTGTGCTGAGCCAGTCAGACAAAATACATAAAGCCATAAAGAAGTTCAAAGAGCAAAAAATATCCACTTGATTGTATTTAAGTATATAGTGGATTAATCTGTTAAGAATGGTCTTGCTTGCTATTTTCCTATTTTTTCTTACTTCCATGTATACCTACGGTAGATACTTTGGGGAAGGGTCTGCTCCAGGCACGAGGTGCCCTTCTCTGGGGACTGACTACCTCTTGATCCACAAGGGTAGGCCTTCCATCAGCCATTTGTTGTTGTTGTTTATAGATTTTATTTATTTTTATTTATTTGACACAGAGAGAGACACAGCGAGAGAGGGAACACAAGCAGGGGGAGTGGGAGAGGGAGAAGCAGGCCTCCCGCCGAGCGGGGAGCCCAGTGCGGGGCTTGATCCCAGGACGCTGGGATCATGACCTGAGCTGCTTAATTGACTGAGCCACCCAGGCGCCCCTCCATCAGCCATTTGTAACTATCTGTTCGCTACCCGCTGGCATGGTTGCCAATCAGATTCTCTTTCCCTGTAACTTAGAATCGGGAAGGAGAGACAGTGAGTCTTGTAAGTGAAAGTGCTTGGAGGATGCAAATTTGTGCAGTTAAGAGGTATGGAAAAGATTTCTGTAGAGAGAGAAAAGCAGAAATTGAAGATGGATAAAGAGTTTGGGTGGCTTTCCGTTCCCTAGTTTCAGCCCTTTTCTGAGACCTGGTTGAAAACTGTCTCCCCTTTATCTCCATAAATAGTCTTGGGTTTTCTTATACATCTTACCTCTTACCCTACCTTATATTTTTGATTAAGCTAGCTTAAATTGGTTTCTATTATTTGCAACCAAAGAGTTCTTAATTAATACAGTCTATTAGCTGTCTACCCTTCCAGACTCAGGCCGATCCACACTGAGTACATTTCTGGGTTCAAGTGTGTAAGAGATCTCTCATGAAAATGATTAAAAATCAAGCTATGTCTTGTCACCTTTGCCTAGGTCCACTGTATTTTGTTATTAGTTTCCTGATTTTTTGGTCTGCTGATAGTATCATATGTGTTTGATCCCTTGTGTGCCTGGGCCTATGTATGCTGTCTGTTCCTCCCATATAAGCTGACCTATTAGATATAATTTCTTTTCTTTTTTTTTTTATTATGTTCAGTTAGCTACTATATAGTACATAATTAGTTTTTGAGGTAGTGTTCAATAATTGATTAGTTAAGTATAACACAATTTGTTAGGCACTGCCTTCGCCAGCATGATAGCTATCCCTTCTGATTAGAAACTGCCACCAATTGCCTATTCTTGTAATTTTATTGACTTCGCTGATTATACTATAAAGAAGTAGGCATTAATCAAAATTTAGGGGGAAAAAAGCATAAAGAGGAATATCATCCTCTGTCAGTGCTTTATCCAGAGAGAATCATTGTTGGGACTATGCTACCAGAGATTTTTCTAGGTGTATATGTGTTTGTGTATAAGATGTACACATTAAATAGATTTACATAGTCCATAAATGGAACCATACCAGAGTTGTTCTGTAGTTTTTATTCACTCATGCATTGTGAACCGTATCCCATGTTAATTAATCTGTACTTATATTTCATGGCTAAATAATATTTCATTTTATCGATATACTATAATTAAGCAATTTTTCTATTGTTGAACATTTAGGTTCATTTCTTTTCCTTTTTCTTTGACTCTTATAAACAATACTGAAATGAACATTGGGGTGTCTGGGGTTCAGTCCGTTGAGTGTCTGACTCTTAATTTCGGCTCAGGTCATGATCTCAGGGTTGTGGGATCGAGCCCCACATCAGCTCTGTGCTCAGTGGGGAGTCTGCTTCAGATTCTCTCTCCCTCTCCCTCTGTCTCTCCCCACCCACCCTCACTCATTCTCTCTCTAAAATAAAAATAAATCTTTAAAAATATATAAAGAAGTAAACATCACTACAGAAACCTCTTACCTGGGTTTTTGTTTTTTTTTTTAAAGATTTTAATTTATTTGACAGAAACACAGTGAGAGCAGGATCACAAGCAGGGGGAGAGGGAAAGGGAGAAGCAGGCTTCCCACGGAGCAGGGAGCCCGATGCGGGTCTCAATCCCAGGACCCTGGGATCATGACCTGAGCCGAAGGCAGACGCTTAATGACTGAGCCACCCAGGTGCCCCTTACCTGGGTTTTTTTTCCCCCTTTTTCCCGAGGTTTAATTTCTTTTTTTTTTTTTTTTTGAGAGAGAGAGGAAGAAAGAGGTGGGGGAGGGGCAGAGGGAGAAGGGGAGAGAGAGAATCTTAAGCAGGCTCCATGCTCTGCGCAGAGCCTGATGTGGGGCTTGATCTCACAACCCTGAGCTCATGACCTGAGCTAAAATCAAGAGTCAGACACTTAACAGACTGAGCCACCCAGGCGCCCCATCCCTAGGTTTAGTTTCTAAAAGTGGAATTTTTTAGTGGAAATGAATGTATGATATTGAGGATTTTTCATTTATATTGTTGGATTGCCTTCCACAACTCTGCATCAAAAAACCCCCCCAAACCAAAAGAAAAACAACTCTGTATCAGTTCATATTCCAACCATCAGTGAGTGAATTCTTCCATTGAGAAGCAAAAATGAATAGTATTTCATTATTGTTTTAATTTGCACTCCTTCAATTTAAGTGAGATTAAACATTTTAAATGTTCATTGACCAATTTTTTTCTTTTGTGAATTTCTGGTTCATAGCCTTTGCTCATTTTCCTACTGAAATATTCACAATTTTGTCATTGTTGTGTAGGTTATCTGTGAATATTAAGTTTGTTGGTCCTCTGTTTTTTCATTTATATTTTAAAGAGAATATAACAGACTCTGAAAACAAAATGTCTATTGGCTGTGTGACCTTGGACAAATTACTTACTCTCTTTGTACCTCAATTTCCTTACATGTATAATGTAAAACATTATGTGCATGTGTGTATAAACACAGAATCGTGTCTAGCACACAGAAGATACTTCATCAAGATTTGTTAATAATATTTTCAGCTTGCTGTTGTCTTTTAGGTATATGTGTTTCCGTTTAGTCTTAGTGATGGTTCTTTTTTTTTTTTATCTTTAAAAGAAATCTGGTCTTATTCTTTATGCTTTCCTCTGAATATCAATAAGCTTAAGTAATTCAAGTCAATTATTTCTAATTCTGGTTGCTCCCTAGGATTATAAGGCTTAAACACATCAGAAAAATCTGAAGTCAGGCTACAGTCATACTTTATTCACACATACTTTAATTAGAGATCCAAATTAACGAGTGATTTCACGCAAATAAACAATCAGATAAGGCCTGATAACCTACTCCCTTCACATATACAATGTTTTCTGAATGACTTTGGTTTTTTGTTCCTTTGTCAAATGTGGTGTAGCTGCCACCATTTTTAAGAGCATATGTTTGTTTCTTAGGATAATGAATTAATAAGTATTGCTTCCTTATAAAAATGTATTAAATAGCTGAGAATGACAAAATTGTATTGACTTACTGATGTTGAATTTGGCAGTTGGTTCTTGGGTTGAGTATTTGTTTTATCTGAGGGGTTTGCGCGTTTTTAGTACTTTCCATGATAGGGAGCAAATACTGCAATATTTCTTGAGTTTGAGCTATTTTTTTATCCCTGTAGATTCTTTTTTCATCATCTGTCCAATTTATGCCAGTCTTCTTGCTCTGGAAAGAAGTACATTCTTTCATTTTGCTTTTAAGGTTGTGATGCAGATCTGGGGAGCAACCACAAATATATGTATAGATACGTGAACTGAATTGACTCAACAATTATTTATTGAACATTATGTGCCAAGGATCTATCTAAAAATTCTTTTTTTTTTTTTTTAAAGATTTTATTTATTTATTTGAGAGAGAATGAGAGAGAGCACATGAGAGTGGGGAGGGTCAGAGGGAGAAGCAGACTCCCTGCCGAGCAGGGAGCCCGATGCGGGACTCGATCCCGGGACTCCAGGATCATGACCTGAGCCGAAGGCAGTCGCTTAACCAACTGAGCCACCCAGGTGCCCCTCTATCTAAAAATTCTTATCCACTTGAAGCTTATATTTTAATTACAGAGTCAGAAAATAGCAAATAAGTAACATATATAATATGTCAGATAATGATAAAGTTTACAAAAGGTTAAAATAAAGCTGGGGAGGGGAATAAAGAATTTTGGGGGAAGGGGCTGATTTCTGTTTTTTAAAAGGTGTTCAGGGAAGGCCTCCCTGTGAAGCTGCCATGTCAAAGGAGTTAGGGAGTGAGTCAAGCAGATACCAGAGGAAAAGAGCATTCTAGGCAAAAAAATAGTAAATGCAAAGGCCCTGAACTAGGAGCATGGTAGTGTGTTGAAGGGTCACCAAGATGGCCCAAGTGGCTAAAGCAAATTGAATTAAGGGGAAAGAGCTAAGACAGCAGCTCAGCGAGGTGACTTGGACTGAGTTCACATGGTGCCTCACAGGCCATTGTAAAGACTGATTTTACTGAGTGTGAAACGGGGAGCTACAGAAAGGTTTTGATTTTGAGCAGAGGAGTATCAACATCTGAGATTTGTTTTAGCAGGACCCTGCTGTTATATAACCCTGTATTTTGAGATTTTACTAATGAATTAATGTGGGATGTGAGAACAAAGGAGTCTATGGTGACTGCAAAGCTTCTGATCTTGGGAAACAGAAGGATGGAGATATGGGAAAGACCATGGGAAGGGCATGCTGGAAATCGCTTCTTTACTACAGGATATGAAGGAATTATTATTTTGTTAATTGTGATAATTATTATAATAACATTTTTAAAAAGTGTTTATCTCCCCCTTCCATTAGTAAGACTACTATAAAAAAAACCTCAAAATAACAAGTGTTGATAAGGATGTGGAGAAATTAGAACCCTGGCATACTGTTGCTGGGACTGTAAAATGGTGCAGTCACTATGAAGAAAAGTATGGTGGATCCTCAAAAAATTGAAAATAGAATTACTATATGAGCCAGCAATTCTACGTCTGGGTATATGCCCCAAAGAGTTGAAAGCAGAGTTTCAAAGAGTTATTTGTATACGTTCATAGAAGCAGCATCATTCAATTCACAGTAGCCAAAAAGGTAGAAGGAACCCAAGTGCCTATTGATGGATGAATGGATAGACAACAGGTGGTAGATACATACAATGGAGTATCACTCAGCCTTAACAAGGAAGGAAATTCTGACACCTCCTACACCATGGATGAAACTTGAGGACATTATGTTCAGTGAAATAGACCAGTCACAAAAAGACAAATAATGTGTTTGTCTTCCAAATATTTGATTCCACTTATATGAGGTACTTAGAATAGTCAAAGTCAGAGAGATTCAAAGTAGGATAGTTGCCAGGAGCTGGGAGGAGGGAGGAATGGGGAGTTGTTTAATGGGTATAGAGTTTCAGTTTTGTAAGATGAAAAGAATTTTGGAGATTGTGTACATGACAAGGTGAACGTACTTTATGCTAAAAAATAGTTAAGATGGTAAATTTTATTTCATGTGTATTTTGACACAATTCTTAAAAATCCAATAGGAGAGAGCGGAGGGATAAAAAGAAACCCTGAGTAAAGCCTGAAAGAAGGCTAGTAGACATTTTAAAGGATATGGCAGGATTACTTATAACTATAATGCCTAAGGTGGTACGCAGACAACATGAGAAAAAGTAGAATACGCTTAGAATAAACGCATTAAATACATTATGCTTTGTAAAAAGAAAAGTTAGAGATACAACTATTTATGGGCAAAATGATATGATATGATGAATGTGATTTAAATACTTTAGTAAAAAAAGTAGGAATATAGATGAAAGAATAGCAGGATGCTGGTAACTATTAAGGGTGGGTCCTAGGACCCAGTGGATTCATTATCATATTCTCTCTACTCTTGTTTATGTTTGCATTTTCCACAGTAAGGCTTTTATTTATTTATTTATTTTTAAGATTTTATTTATTTATTTGAGACAGAGAGAATGAGAGAGACAGAGAGCACATGAGAGGGGGGAGGGTCAG